TTTCTTTCCCCTGCTATCCTGCAGCTGTCTTCTAGTCAAACTGGCTTCCATTCTTCTCCCCTGCTCCCATTTCTCCAATCCTCTCAGCTGCCACTCCCTAGTAGGAGAGACTTATCCCATCATAACTCGTTAAAACCCTTTAATGGCTACTCACTACCCTCAGCAGAGTCCTAACTCCATAGTATGGTCTACTAGGCCTTGCAAGCCCTGGCCCCAGTTCCTTTTTCCTCCTCTTCCCCACTTGAACTCCTTGTTTCAGCCATACTGTAGGGTAGTGGAAATTTCCCTGGTCTACCATGTTCTCTTCTATATGGGTGATGGCCCATGCTGTTCTTTTTGCTTGAAATACCCTTCCCTTCTTCCCCCTTGGTTAATTCCTACTAGTCTTTTAGGTTTCAGCTTAAGCATCTTCTGGAAGCCTTAGAATCTCTAAGACTGTGTTAGGTGGCCCTCCAATGTCTTATGGCCACTTTCCCTTATCACAACTGTACTATTTGACTAAATGACTATTTGAATAGCACCATGAGGACAGAGTTGTCCTATTACTGCATGCCCTCGTGCCTCATACAGGGCCTGGATTGAGTATGAGCTCAATGATACTGAATAACTAGAGGAGCAATAGCTGAAAAGGGCCTCTGACTGGGACCTTGGGGGAGAATGGAGCCTTTAGGCTCCTTGAACGTGAAGCCATAATTTTGGCCTCATTTGTGTTCTAACCTCCAAAGATCAGTAGCTGGGCTCACAGGAACAAAATTCACTCTTGGGGTTCCATGCATGGTCATAAAAACCTACTAACAATTTAGCTGTGCTCCTTCTGAATCCTTCTAATCCAGGAAGGCTTGTACTTGCCACATCTACATATCTGGCGCAACATTTTCGAGGCTGGGTAACTGAGTCCGCTCGGGGATTGCACGCTGGATGAATTTTGCACAATGGAAACTGAATCATTACTCTTTGCAAGCTGTCTTCCACCTAGATTCCTGTTAGGTCACTTAGCTGACCCCACCCTTTTTTCCCTAGGAGACCACCCAAATACCTCCAAGAGGACTTTATTTTTTTTCTTTCCAGGCAACAATCACGTAGGAGTGATAGGACTTAGAGATTAATGCATCTAAGCACACCCCAAAAAAGGCATCTGGACTTTAGGATGCCTTTAGGATATGTAAGTTCCTATAAGGCTGTGCATTTAGATTCAAGATCCTATTTGGCCAATGCTCTCTCTTGTTTGCCTTCTGAAACCCAGTAGAGAACAGCTAGAACTTTACATAGTCCAGAATACAACAGACATTTCTGGTTGTTTAATTTTACAAGTCATTTATTGTGTTTTATTCCAATTATAAAAGCAGTACATGCTGATTGTAGGCAATTTGCTAAATACAGAAAAGTATATACGAAAATATAGAAATCATTGCCATCAAGGGATAATCCCCACAAACATCTGGAAGACTATTTCCTTCTATGCTTTTTTTGTCACAAACATAGTATATAGAGTATATTGTATTACACATTTCTCCTGTACAAAACTGGATAATATTGCATAAAATTTTGTTTATTTCCTTTAAATTTTTTTCAGAATATAAAAATAAAACACACTTGCAGTAATAATCTTCAACTTTACAGCAATGTATGACATTTATAGTGAAAGTTCCCACAATTCCATTCTTTAAAGATAACTAGTGTCAACCAGCTTAATAGATTCCTTCAGAATACACATATGTGTATGTGTATCTATCAAACACAAGTTAAAAACGGATTTTATACTATAATTAAAACATGACCTTAATATCTTTCAAAACATGATTTAATAACTGTGTAACATTCCATGTTATTAAAGTGTTTAACCACACCCTTAATATCAGTTTAATTTTTTAAATTGTACATAATGCAAAATGCAGTGATGAACATCCTTATACATGATTTATTGTGAGAATTTCTTGCTTATTTCTTTATGATAAAATCCTATAAGGGGAATTACTGGACCAAAGGGTATATGCATCTAATAAGGGTTTAATAGCCAAAATATTTTTAAAAACTTCTACAACTTAACAACAAAAAGACAAACAACCCAATCAAAGAATGAGCAAAGGACTTGAACAAACATTTCACCAAAGAGGACACACAAATGGCCAGCAAGCACATGAAAAGATGCTCAGTGTCATTAGTCATTAAAAACCAGTTGCTGTCGAGTCAATTCTGACTCATAAGTGACCCTGTAGTACAGAGTAGAACTGACCCATAGGGTTTCCAAGGATGTAATCTCTATGGAAGCAGATTGCCACATCTTTCTCCCACAGAGCGGCTGGTGAGTTCGAACTGCCGACCTTTCAGTTAGCACCTGAGCGCTTTAACCACTGCTCCACCAGGGCTCCTTCATTAGTCACTAGGGAGATGCAAATCAAAACCACAGTGAGATACTACCTTACCCTCACTAGAATGGCTATGATAAAAAAAAATTTAAAAAAACAAACAAAAAACCAGAAAATAACAGGTGTTGGCAAGGATGTGGAGAAACTGGAACTCTCATCCATTGCTGGTGAGAATGCAAAATGGTACGGTCTCTGTGGAAAACAGTTTGGCGGTTCCTCAGAAAGCTGAGCATAGAATTATCATATGACCCAGCAATCTTAATCCTAGGTATATATTCAAAAGAGACCTGTATACCAATATGCATCACAGCACTATTCAAAATAGCCAAAAGGTGGAAACAACCAAATGTCCATCAACAGATGAATGGAGAAACAAAATGCTGTATATACACACGGTGGACCACTACTCAGCCTAAAGACAAATGAAGCCCTGATGCCTGCCACAACATGGATGAACCTTGAAAACATCATGCTGAGCGAACTAAGTTACAAAAGGACGAACACTGTATGACCTCACTTACATGAAATAAGCAAATACATAGAAACCAAAGATTATTAGTGATCACTAGAAGTAAGAGGGAGGGAGAAAGGGGGAGTTTTTGCTCAAGGAGCAATAGTGGTAGAATGAATTGGAAAAAGATATTGAGAATGGTTGTACAACTTGAAGAATGTAATCAATGTCACTGAATTATACCTGTAGAAATTGTTGAGATGGTTTTTTTTTTGAGATAATTATGTTTTGTTATACATATTTTCACAATAAAATATTAAAAAAAAAAAAACAAAAAGAACACACACAATGAGATACCTCCTCACCCCCACTAGAATAGCTATGACAAAAAACAGAAAATAATAGATGTTAGCAAGGATGTGGAGAAGCTGAAACCCTCATCCATTGTCAGTGGGAACGCAAAATGGTACAGCAGCTGTGGTACAGCTGCACATAGAACTACCATATGACCCAGCAATCCCACTCCTAAGTAAATACCCAAAAGAACTGAAAGCAGGAATGCAAACACAGACCTCTACACCAACGTTCATTACAGCACTATTCAAAACAGCCAAAAGGTGGAAAACAACCAAATGTCCATCAGGAGATGAGAAGATAAACAAAATGCTGTATATACACACAATGATTTCGAAAAGGATAGTGATAACGGTTGCACAACTCGAAGTAGGTAATCATTGTCATTGAATAATACATGTACAAACTGTTGAAATGACAAATGTTCTGTTATGCATATTTTTAATCACAATAAAACAAAAACGGTACATGTATGTTATCAGGGCCTGCTGAATACAACTAGGCACGCTCCGTGTTTAGCTACGTGTGGGTGCCTAAGTTCTCATTTGTTTTGATTTTAAAAGCTTCACAAGTGGTATAACTAGAAATCAAGTACTTTCTGATTAAATATTTGCTTGCTCTTGTTAGCATTAATGGATTTGTGTTTAACAAGTTTCATTTCTTCCCCAACATTTTATTATGAAAATTTTCAAACAATACGGAAAAGTTAAAAGAATGGTACGGGTGAACATCCATACACCCACCACCTAGTTTCTACAGCTAACATTCTGCTGTATTTGCTTTATCATATACTTACCCATCCATCAAGCCACAGAGGTTTCATTTTTAACAGGAAAAATCTCCTTTAGATTGACTCTTTCAATGTAAGGCCTCATTTTTGTAAACCCCCACGTTTAATGCTCCCGTGGAGTTGATTTTCAACTCATAGTGACCCCATGTGACAGAGCAGAACTGCCCCATATGGTTTTCTTGACTGAAATCTTTACCGGAGCAGATCGCCGAGCCGCTTTGTGGGTTCCAACCGCCAACCTTTTGGTCAGCAGTCAAGCGCTTCACGTTGTGTCACCTGGGCGTCTTATCAGATGCGAACGTGCAAAGGTGCCAAGTAAGAGTCTGATTTGCAGACATTTGTCCTAGGGGGTTCGGGGCTGCCCAGCTTCTGAAGGACTCAGCACACAGGGTGGGAGCGTGGCACTGGGTTCTAATCCTGACCCCACTAAGAGAACTGACTTTTCTCCCTGTAATATGGGTATCCCTATATCCTGGGTGAGGATTAAAGACACAAATCGCGAGCACTCAATAGAGATAATTATTATGATTCTTGTAGTCCCTCCTTGACCCCGGTAAACTCTTGAGTCCACCTCAGTTATAAGCAATTGTAAAAATTGTAAAATGGGGACAGCGTGGCCGCGAGGGCTACTGACCTGAGGCCAAGGGCTGCGAAAGCCCAGCCAGCCCAGCCGTTGGGGACGCCTCCGAGCCGCTGTGGGGTCAGCCTGCAGCCCGGGCCTGATTCCCTCCCTCAGGCGCCCAACACTCAAAGTGACTGACCGTGGGGCGGTTCTTGGGCGCTACCCGCGTCATCTCAGTGAATGCTCACAAAAGTCTCCAATCAGCGCTACAGAGAAGGAAACTAAGGCTCAAAGAGTTCAAGTTACTCGCCCGAGTCCAGAGTTGGCGTCCGGGAATTGAACCCAGTCGCCCTACTCCAAGCTCTCCCTTTCATTTCCCAGCGCCCGCGGAAAGCCATTGCGGAGCGCCGAACTGCGCGCAGGCGCAGTCATCGCCACCTAGTTTCCTTTAAGAGGATTCCTTTTGCCTCCTCCGACCCTTGCGCTTCCGCTCCGCGTTCCCACAATGCACTGCGGCTGAGCGCCTCCGAGCCCGCGGGACGCTGCGGGGGGACGCGGACTGAGGCGGCGGCGGCGGCGACGTGGGCTGCGGCGGGCCCGTGGCGTCGGGCTGGGCGGATGTCGGGCTGGGCGGACGACCGCGGCGGCGAGGGCGACGGGCGCATCTACGTGGGGAACCTTCCGACCGACGTGCGCGAGAAGGACCTGGAAGACCTGTTCTACAAGTACGGCCGCATCCGCGAGATCGAGCTCAAGAACCGGCACGGCCTCGTGCCCTTCGCCTTCGTGCGCTTCGAGGACCCCCGGTGAGGCCACCGCCCCGCCCGCCTCCTTCCCGCCAGTCCGAGTCCCGTCTCCCCGCTTCCCCTCCCCCCTCACGGGCCTCCCCTCCCCCCTCCGCGCAGACCCCTTATGGCGCCCCCGGGTGGGGAATGAGGCCTCCCCTCCCCGCAGGCTCCGGGCCGCCCTTTGCTCCGTCGTCACTTCCTTTATTGTTATTATTTTTTTTAACTTAAAAGCAAAAATTGGGCCTTTGGAAGGCCCGAGCCCACTCAGACCTGCCTCATGAATAGCACAAATTCCCACTCCCTCCCTCGCGGCTGGGAGGCAGCCTTCGCGGGGAAGTGGTCTCGGAGCCTGGAAACCTCGGGTTCCCAAGCTAGCCGGGGAGAGGATTCCGGGAAGAGTCCAAATCGCCAGTCGCCCTCTCTGCCCACCCCTCCACCGAGGCCGAACTCGCCGTTAGGGGTGAACGGACTGCGGGGACGTGGGAGTTCTTTAGAAGTCGTCCGGGGATCTCTGTGATGGAACAGATCTCCACCCGCGCCCCCCTCAAGGCCAAGGCCTCGTCCTTAGAAAAGGATCGGGGAATTGGGAGAACTTCTAGAACATCATGAGGAGGGTCTCTGATTTCACTCTTCCTCTGGTGAGGGAGGCACTGCTAGGTGCAAAAGGGCCCCAGAGATTTGGAAACTCTCCCAAAACCGTTTCCAAGGGGTCTTGGTTATTGCAAACATCGTACTCCTCAGGCCGGAAAAGGCCCAGGAACTCTCTTAGAAGGTACTGCACTGTGTGGCCACTCCACTAGGGTAAATAGGAACTCGCTCTCTGTTTTCCAGCATCGTCTCAGGAACCACTTTACCTAGTCTGTGCCTCACTACGGGAAATATCAGTACTCGAGAAATGTCTGTAACCTAACTGCTGTGGGGGTATTGGGCAAGGGAGGTGGGAAGCAACCTGAGGCTTTGTGAGGGCTAAAGACTGGCAGTTCATCCTAGTGTCTTGCCATTTGCCTCAAAAGTGGAAGTAGCCATTTTTTACAGCTACACTGGAGAAGATTGCCTCTCTATTAATTAGTAACCATACCAATGTGTTTTTGAATAGTTGGTGTGTGTCAAGTACCATGTGGTGTATTTAGTCTTTTTAGCAGCGTATGAGGATTCTGGGTTCAAAGAGTTGATAAAAGTTGGTAAAAGACTAGGCTAGTAAGGGATCAAGGTAGGATTTGAACCCCGCTATTCTGCCCTTAGAATACAGACTTATTGTATTGTATGCTACATTATCTTCTTTCCTCATTTCTTTGATGATAAAAAAGCATGTTTTTGATATTACTAGGTGCCAAGTCCCAGGCAAAGCCCTGTGCACATAGTATCTTATTTAATCCTTACAGTAACCTGTGAGATAGGCATACTGCTAACATTTAGAGATGTAAAAACTTAATACCCAGAGATATCTACTAGTGAGTAGCAGTAGAATAATTTAAACTCAGGTCAGTTTGTATTTGAAGTCTGCTCTTAAACTCTCCTAGCATTCTATCTCTCTCCCACTGCATTATAAATATAGCCAGGGTCACATTGGATGTGGTCCTTGTTGCTTTTAGTCTTGTGACTAGAATCTTGATAAGTGAGTATGTGCCTGTGACACTGTATGGTGCCCTCATTGTCAGATCTTCAGCTCTGCTTGTCCACCCAAGCCCTGAGCCTCTTCTTCCTCCATCCAGTATTGGAGAACCAACTGGACATTCCTAACTCTCCCACAGTCCTAGGAAAGACTTAAAATACACCCACAGAGGGTGGTCTTAAAACAATCTATGACCTTGCAGAAAAGGTACACTTCAGGATTCCCATATTTCTCACAAAACACCTGTCTTTTGAACCTTACATCTTTTTTAATGGGATTTTCTTTTTATAGGCTTTATGGTACTAGGCGTTATGGGAGAATAATAGGGGGTTAACGTATGGTGTACATTTTGAGAAACTACTAACCAAGATTAAGGAAACACTTATTGGCAAAATCATCTAGCAACCTACTTTGACTGTGAGGAAATAAACTTCTTTTCGTTAAAACCAAAACAAAAAAAAAAATCATCTAGCAACAATTTATTCATTTCTTAAAAAAATTAAGCCTCTTTTAAGTAACCTCTTCACACCCATTCAGTGTCATTTCATACCTAGAAAACCCTGTGTGTGGCAGTTGTAAAGTTTAATTCTAGTATTATGAAAGGTCTTCAGAGCAGTAGTGCGTAGTAGCAGTAGCAAAGATCCTGTTTTCTTGTGGGGTGTTTGTTTTTTGTTTCATTCTGAGATTCCCTTTTATACTTATTACTCAAGCCATTTACCCGGAAGTCAGCCAGCCTCCTGAGTAGCACTAACTTCAGATTTTTGTTTGCAGAGATGCTGAAGATGCAATTTATGGAAGGAATGGTTACGATTATGGCCAGTGTCGACTTCGTGTGGAGTTTCCCAGGGCTTATGGAGGTCGGGGTGGGTGGCCCCGTGGTGGGAGGAATGGGCCTCCTACCAGAAGATCTGATTTCCGAGTTCTTGTTTCAGGTATGTTTTTTTCAAATTGAGGTGATTCATGTAAAACACTTTGAACAGAGTCTGGTCCCTGAGAGATGTTAGTTATTCTTCAGTGCATGGGAAATGTGGGGCTTTCATTCCAATAGCCTATGCACAGTGACAGTCTGAAGTCCTGCCCTCTCTTGCCATTGAGGCAGGTATCCTGAAAATGAAATTGCCCTGGTAGTGCAGCCTTGGTAGAATATAAACATGCTTCTTGTAAAAGGTATTCTAGTGGTAAGAAGAGAAGATGATAGCAAACTCCCTTGAATTAGAATTCTAAAATGTTTTCTTTTGGAATGTACCTATGTGTTGGACTTGATAAAAGGATACTCCAGGGGCCAGATTTTTTGTGGTGGTTTTGGTGGAATTATTTAAAAAACAAACCAACAGACAAATGGAGTCTTGAGGATTGTATTGTAAAATATAGAGTACAGAATAAAATGTGTAGTGTTGACAAGTGATGAAATGCTAAGCTCAGAGGTTTATCTTTCTGAAATATGAGCACATTGGTATAGACCTGGGGCCTTCTGCAAATCGCAGATGAGTTTTAGGGCCTTGGTGGAGTGAAATGTATTGAGGGAGCCTGGCTCCGTTTTAGATGTGAATGTCACTGTAAAAAACCAACCACAGCTGACTTCCATGGTGCTTCTCTTAGTTACCTAGCGCTGCTACAACAAAGTACCACAAATGGGTGGCTTTTTTTTTTTTTTTTTCAAACATTTAGATGGCTTT